GTATGTATGTATGTATAAAATCCCCTCTTCCCTCGTCTTTTTTGAGACAGGGTCTCACTATGCAGTTCAGGATGGCCTTGATCTCACTTTGTAGCACTGGTTGGTCTTGAACTTGAAATGGTCCTCCTGTCTCAGCCTCCAGAGTACTGACTGGGATTACAGGTGTGAGCAAGCACACCCCCTCGGAAATGTATTTTAACATGGAAATTTCTGACATACTCACATGAAAGGGAATCAGTATTGTAATTAAATTTTATTTTCATTAAAGTGATTTTAATGTGATGAATATAATCATCATACATACTTAAAAAGTACCAATGAAATCTAATTGGAGGGCCAATGAGATAACTCAGCTGACTAAGCGCCTGCTTTGGCAAGTGCAGGGACCAGGAATCAAACCCTGGTCCCTGCATGCTGGCCAGCCCCGTCCCCAGGGCACACCTCTAGTCCCAGGGCTGGAGAGGCTGAAAACAGGAGGATCACTAGGAGTCTGAGCTGCACAGTAAAACCCTGTACATAAAATACATAAAATATCCAAATACATAAAACGAAAAAAAAAATCTAACTGAAAAAAAAAAGCAACAATACTGACTTGGGAATTAGGTTGTTTTATTTCAAATCTCTGTTATTTAATAGCTATGTATCTGAGCAAGACAGTATATCTCCCTGCATGGTTGTCATAAAAATACAGTATATGCCAAAGCACTTGGAACATAGCTTACTACACACTGTACTAAGTGTTTTACATAAGCGTATGTTATTAACAGTACTTTGAGGTGATCCCAGGGCATCAAAAGGAATGGAATGGCTAAAGAGTCAGAAAAATCTGGTTTTTATTTCTAATACACTAATGTTGTGCACATGTTATATATAACAGCAACATCTGTATTCTAATATCCCCACCTACAAAACATGGAAGATTTTACATTTACGCTTTGTAGAAATGTTGGAAGAGGAAAGAAAAGAAAGGAGGGAGGGAGGGAGGGAGGGAAGGAGGGAAAGAGAAGGAAGCGGAGGGAGGGAGGAAGAGGCCAGGCAGGCAGGCAGGCAAGAAAACTGTGACTTAAAGGTTCAAAAGGTTCCTTTATAAACTCAAAAACCAGATATGTTACTTTATGACTTCATATGGATTTCAGACACTAAAACTATTATTCATTGTAAGCATCACAACACTATTCAGTTTCTGTTCACCACCAGCACCACCAGGCATCCTGCTATGGAACTTTGCCCCATTTCAAATGCTAGAAGAAGGAAACAAAACAAAAAAGCCAAAGGTGGTAAGTGTGTGGGAAGAAAACTAAAAGAAACATGCACAAAATGATTTATCATTGAATGCTGCTGAACCCAAAAGATGTATTCCCCAAAAAATGCACTAAGAAAAATGACATGAAGGTGAACCTATTTAAAATTAGAAAAAAGCAACACCTATTAATTATCTATGTACTCTAATCCTCTACTTAGGGACTTCAGGCTTGTTTTAATTTTCAAAACCTAGAAAAATAGGCTCAAAACTACAGTACTGGGGCTAGAGTTATAGCTCAGCATAGGTGCCTGCCTGGCAAGCATGAGATCTCGAGTTCCATTCGCAGTACCAAAAAAAAAAAAAAAAAAAAAAAGTAAAAAGTACAGTACTGCCATTTCAAGCCAGATGAAATTTAGCAACCAGCTCTGGGTAACACAACTGTGAATTTAAAAGTAAAACAGGCTGGAAATATAGCTCAGTGGCATAAGCACCTGCCTGGTAAGTGTGAGGTCCTGAGTTTGATCTCTGTTACTGGAAGAAAAAAAAAACAGGAATAAAAGCAAGTACTGCCTGACTTTTAAAGCCTCAGTTTTGTTTGCTTTTATTTAGATAGGTTTTGGTCTTTTTGAGACAGGGTCTTGTTGTGCAGTTCAGACTGGCATTGAACTCACTGTAGCCAAGGCTGGTCTCAAATTCACAACGATCCTCCTGCCTCAACCTCCTGAATGCCAAGATTATAGATATACACCACCACGCTAGGCCAGCTTCAGATATTTTCAAAATGCTCCTTAAAGAAGTATTGCTTTAAAGAAGTATATAATTTTTTCCCAGATAAACATATACCGGGGCCAGGGAGATAGCTCAGTGGAATAAGCACTTCCCTGGCAAGCACAAGGGTCTGAGTTCAATCCCCAGTTCTGCAAAAAAACAAAAACAAAAACAAA